TTCCGCGACGTCATGAAGCACCTTGTCGACGGCGACGGTCGCTGCGTCCAAGCTCGAAGACGGCGAGATCGACGAGTGCCAGAACCTCGAGTGGCTGGCGACGCAGCCGCGCATTGTCCAGGTCACGTGCGAGTGCCAGCGCAGCAACTTTTCCGTCTTCAACTGCCCGGCCATGACGGCGTACATGCAAATGGAGCAGGAAGCGATCGAGTCGACGACAATTGATGCGTAAATATGCACTTGACGGTGTACGCACTTAACTACCTGAGGGCCGTCGCAAGAACTTGAACAAAAAGCAATTTACATGTAAAATACCAGTACAAGATTTCTCGTTGGTGGCACGCCGTCAACACACGGTACTCGCGCAACCAGACACACTGATATATGCCACTTTGCGGTCAGCGCTTCCTGGGCTTTTTTCGAAAATGGCGCAAACCCGCTACCATGGACGGATTCGAACCCACCACCAGCGTCGGCAACCGTCGTTTGTGTCAGTTGCGTATTTACGACCGACCAAAATGCGGTCGCGGGGCGTTGTGCTCACGCTCTGCGCCACGAGCGCCACGGGGTTCGTCACGTGTACGCGCTCGACGTCGCTCACCGAGATCTTTACCAATTGGTGCATTTGCCAGCCGTGCAACCTCTGCAGCTACAAACTCTTCCAAGGCTGCGACGTCCTTCTGACCAACGCGGTCTCGACGTCCGACGGCTCGGACATTCCGACGCGTCAACCGCTTTTGGCCTCGAGTGACTGGTTCCTCACCGCCGACGAGATTACAAACGCACGCGGCGGCGTCCCGCGAACGTCATTAGCCACGAGCACGTCGGGCAACTTCATGCACATCTTTGCCGACACGAGCAGCACGTTTGCGGCGATTCATCACGATCTCTTAACGGCCCACACCGCGTACTTTACAAGCTGGACGCTTGGCGACATCCCGTATCTGCCACACATTGACCCCGCCATTACGTTCAAGTCGACGTGGGGCAAGGCGATCACAACCAATGGCCTCAGCGCGCACGGGCTCGTTTGGTCAAACCTTCCAGAACTCGATCGCGTCACGGACATGCATGCGTGGATGAACTCGCTCACGCCCTCGCATGGCGCGCGCGTTCAGCTCATGACCGACGACCGCGTCACGTCGATCACTGGCTCGCTGCACCAAAAGAGTTTGGTTCTGAGCATAGGCAACCAGGTCTGGGCCTACGCCGGCGGGATGGATCAGGCTTTTGATCGATGGGACACCAAGTACCACAACGAGTCGGCGCTGCGCAACGCAGCCCACATCCGTACCAACAACAACGGCTGGATCGACGTTCATTCGCGCGTCCAAGGGCCCGCGGCCGTGGATATTTTGCACAATTTCTTGGACCGTTGGAACGACCCTAACCCGCCCGGTTCGGCGCTCGGACCGCCGTTCGTGACGCCGCCGATGCCATTGCAAGCATCGTGGAACGTGCCGCAAACGTTTTTTTCATCGGCAGCGCTGCTCTCGTCGCTCGCGATCAACACCTCGGCGGGCCCCCACGACGTCCAAATACTTCGGACGTTTAGCTGCAACTACCATGGGTACGCGTCGTTTGCACCGCACGGCGAGACGTCGATCCTCGCGGGCCGCATCAAGGCCATCCGGAACGCGAAAAACTACATTTACATTGAAGACCAGTAC